ATAAATGCTGTAGTTGCAAGATGCAAATTTTTTACTGATTTTATCTTTAGTAACAATAAATTGATTTAGGTATAGACAATTTGTTATTAGTAAAAAATAAATATAAAAAAAAAAATAGCCTTGAAATCAAAACAAAAGACGAATGTTTTTTAGATTATATAGCTTATATACAAAAGTTTCTATAAATAAATAGTTGTTATAAATATCTTGGTAGATGCAACAACAAGAAACAATAAAAAATTCCTTAATATTGCTTCAATGGATACATAACTTCATATTAAATTAGATATATATTTTATTCTTCATATGAATTTAACGCTTCCCGTAATTTATCTACAATTTTTTGATAAAAACTAATTTGCTCTGTGAGATGTGTTTTCATTGTTTGAGTTAAATAAATCTCTTGTTCTGTTTGAAAATGCATTTCTTCGGCGAGTAGAGCACGTGCAATTACATCTGTTCGATGAGACAGATCTCGTAATTGTTGCGGCTCCATTTTGTGTTCACTTACTAATTTTTCATAATCTTTTCGTTTTTGAACAGCAGTCTAAAAAAATTAATGAAAAAAAACAAAAAAGATTAAAATTTTTATTATTAGTAAAATTATATCAATAATAAAAAATAAAATTTTTCTTTATGTATACCTTATGTATACTAATTACATCTGGAAAACTATTGATAATTCCTTTATAAATATGAAATTTATCAGCAAGAGGTTCCCAATCAAATTTAGGTTGTTCTTCATATAACTTGCCTATATCATTATAAGCATCTCCTGTCACCTTTAATGCATAAGTTAATCTTCCTCGACTACTGTCATCTGCTTCCAATGCATGGCTTAATGCATTAAAACTTTGACCAATTTTCTGAAATTCTCTTTTATATAGAACTTGGTTTTTCTTTGTTTGATCAACAGCCATAGCCATAAAATTTTTAACTACTGGATCTAATCCACTTATAAATCTACTGAAAGTATCTGTTTGAATTTCTACTTTTATAACATCTAGAGTTGTTTCAGGACATTGGATAGCATTAAAATAATTTACACCTAACAATTCATCTTTTTCTGCTTGTCTTTTGCCAGCCTTCCATCTTTTCTCATCTGTACATGTTATAAAATGTTCCCAGACGCGACTACGTGCCAACACAGGATGTCTACAAACATAATCAACAAATTCCTGTAGTTGTGTGCGTCTATGTTCAATAAATTGTTCTTCATATCTTCCAGATATTTGTTTATCTGGTAATGGTGGAATAGGAATAAAACAATATTTTTCTTCCAAACGTTCATGTAACCAATCAAAATGTTTATATCTTCTTGAAACTTGAATATTGTTAAACTATAATGAAGAATTAATATTATTTGTATATTTTTCTATTAAAATAATATAAAATACAAAATTATATACCGTTGGTGTAAGTTGATAAACTATAAAACTCTTAAGACCCTTGAGTTTAGATTCTTTTTTGGGAGATGTAACTACACAACTATAAAGTTCTCCTCTTGAAACCCATCTATGACGTCCATTTTCACTTTCATCAATATATATTTTTTCACTTTCAGGAACATTTGCTACTTTCATTCCTAATAAAAAGCTATCTTCTCCAGATTTTATTAATGTAGAAAATTTATTGTTTTTCTTTGGTATATTAGGTATAGGTCTTTCAGGTATCACAGAATGAATAGTTTGTATAGAAACTAAATCTCCATAATCAACACTATGATGCTGTGATAATTGTAACATATGTTGCTGTTGTTGTTGTTGTTGTTGTTGAGGAATATATGCTTGTGTTTGACCAACTTCAGAATCATCATCCCAATCATCATCCCAATAATCTCCAGAACTCTGTTGAGATGATATCATGGCATCTAATACATAAAAGAATTTAAATATAATAATCAATATATCTAATTATAAATTTGTTATATATAATAAAGCAATAAGTATACTAGGAACAGATGTTGGAGTTTCAATAATTTGAACATATGCTGCTGGAAACAATCCAGATTTTCCATTCTGATTAAAACCTTCACACCATCCATCACCCACATTATCTCTCATAACAGATAATATTTCTCCTGCTGTAATAGACAACTCTGATGTTCCTGGTTCTCCTGTGAAATCGTATAGCGCTCTTACCTAAAAAAAAACATCGAGTAAAAATGCGGCAAAAATATATTCGAAAAAGAACAAAATTATTCGTCATTATCGCATAAAAGAATGAGTCATGATAGAAAGATGATAGAAAGAATTGATCAAACTATGCAATGACAAATTGATCATTTTTATCTTCATAACTTCTTTTTCTTAAAGTTTATATACCTGGTGGCCTTCCATTGTAAGTACATATACTAATAATAATTTCAAATTTTAATGACAAATTTTCCTTATTTCAAATTATTTAATTGCGCCCGGTCACATAACTACATTGATCTACTTAGCCATATGATTGACATTTACGTATTTGCGTTTTAACGTGTGTGCGATTCTGTGCCACATAAATGAAAAACTTAAACGATTGTACCACTAGTATCGCACATAATATTCTTTTAGTATAATGTACTTCTTAAATATAAAATCTGTATTGAGATCAAAAACAAATTCTAGACAAATAGAGATAAATAAATAAATGGAATATAATTCAATAAAAAAAATACAAAAAATTATTCTATAATTGGAGGTTAGATGTGAAACATAGAGTGCATGAAATTACAATCCCATACTGATTTCGAATCCGCCTCTATGAATTAACTCTTATATCACTTGTCCTGCATTATACTTTTGTCCAAGAATGTACATTTGAATAAACCAAAGTACCATTTATACAGTTACGAACATAAAATTAAAAAAGAAAACTATTATGTATTTTAAATTGTGAAACTTTATATAAATTCATTTTTAGATCATATATATGATTAAAAAAATAAAAATTAAATAGAAATTTATTATATGCATAAATATTTCATAATGAGTATTTTTATGTTGAATATTTTTTATATTTTCGCATATTATGTAAATTTTTTATTTTAATATTATATATAATATTATATTATACAATATTTTTATTTTAATTACTTTAAATTTTTCATAAATATATAAAAATTTGCAATTTGTTAGAATACATAGAATAAAAAAAACTAAATTGCTTATTTATTAATAAATTTTAATTATTGATTATGTAAATTTTTTTAAATGTTAAATATTTATTATAATATATACAGTTTCATATAATATATGTATATATATATATATATATATATGTCATAACATGTACAATATAAATATAAAATATACTTAATATGTAAAGCAATAATTTCATAAGAATAAAATTTTTTTGAAGTTTTCCTTTCTATAGACAATAAAAATTTTCAAAAATAGAAATAATAATAATAATAATAATAATAAAAAGAAGGTTAAATATGAAAATATATTTTCTTATGAAATTTTATTATTTTAAGTATTACTTTTTTATTATAAACTTTTAAATTACAATTATAGAAATAATTTAATGTGAGGATTTTGATTCCTTGGCATTTTGAAGACTTTGAGTAATGTACAATTTTGCTAAACTTTGAGCACAAAATTGTGAAATGTGTTCACTGTATGTATTAATCTGTCCAGCAACAATCATTGGATTCAATCTAGGTGGAACAGGTAATGGTCTCATTAATTTGTTTATATCATCATCTGGTAATGGAGGCTCATCTTTTGCAGCTCTAGCAGCATTTTCTTGAGCCCTTTTAGCTAAAAGTCTATTTTTTTCTTGTTGTTGACGAACAACTAGTTGTTGATATCTATTAAATTTCATAGCTTCTTGATTTAATTCATCTACACGATCCATTAAACAACGTAATTGATTTTCCAAGACTGTAGCTGTTCCAAGATCTAAATATTTGGTACCTTCTTCTTCTGGAATCATTTCCTCCAATTCAGACATCATTATATTAGTTAAATTACTATTTTTTATCACAACTGGAATCTCAATAAATAAATTTTCATAACCAATTTTTAAAGTACGTAATGCTTCTGGTGTAAATTCACCTTCCTTGTACATTTGTATAGCTTGTGGAGTAAGTCTATATGCTTTCAATGTCAAAAAACCTCTAGCTGACTTAGCTGTATCATATATAAGTACCACTGATTCTTCAATGGAAGTTTGATAATGATATTGTGATTCTAATAGAGATACATTTAAAAAATTGCCAACATCTGCACTTTGATACCATCCAACATGAAAATGATCAACATTTACCCTGAAAAAAATATAAATTAAAAATTATATTTATTTATATATAGAATTATTTATATATAGAAATAGTTTTGAAAGTGTTGAATATAATTTACCAACGAAGACGACGCATCATAGCAAGTTGATATTCTTCTTCGTCCATAATTTCATCATTTTTAGGAAAAGGAAAACAATTCGTAATTTCAAGACGATTTTGAACAACTAAACCGAGCAGAGCTCCTTGAGCAACATCCATATTACTCATTGATTCTTCATGACAATGTTTTACCATTTTCATGACTACTAATCCGTCACATTGCACATAATCTATTCTTGGCTCTACTTCAGGAATTCTTCTGGTTTGAGTTCTTGAGTTCATTTTTAATTAAAAATTCGTATTGATTTAAAATAAACTTTTAAACATATGTTTTCAGTTATTCTATTAATCTAAGTTAAGTTAAAAAGAATCTAATCTAATGCTTAAAAAAGCAAAGCATAGAAAAATAAATAGTATAGATATGGAACTAATCGTTTAATATTATAGTATAATACTTTAATGTAAATTTTAATATTAGAATTTTTGTTAATATAAAAAATAATATTTTTAATAAAAAGAATTAATTTCCGTATCTGTAATATTTAATCATGATTAAATAATGATTATAATAAATCAAAAATTTTGATACTATGTGAGTATAAGTTACATATACTATATACATTTATTTTATGACATATTTCTACCGCGTAAATGTGAAATGATCTGCAACTTTCTTTATTGGTTTACTGTGTATATAATTGGTTGTAAAATTTAATACTAATTGAAAAAAATGGATTATATAGAGGGAAAAATAAAAAAATGGATTATACTAATTCAAACAGAAAAATTAAATGATGTAACAGAAGATATACAGGTTTGAAATATTTTTTTAATAAAATTTCATTCATTGTTTTAATAATGAATTATAAATTTTATATTTTTTTAAATAAATGAATTTCATACTTCATTTTTACAGGCAAATGTACTTAATCAAAATGAAAAAATTAATAAACATATTTTCAAACTATTATTATATCTTTCACATACTGCAGACAAATGTGATAAACAAAATTACGCCATAGGAAAAGAAATATATAAATTGACTTGTATTTTATGTTCAAATTTGATTGATGTACCAGATAATAATAGATTTGTTTCCAGTTTATTTCATATAATTCGTTGTTTATTAACAATGTATATGTTTAATGAGGCATATAATATATGTTCTTATTTAAAAACAGAAACATTACATTCTTATTGTTCTGACAATGTGAGTGATATATTAATAAAGATAGCTTATTTATGGCATAATGCAATTAATAATGAATTTATCATTTTACAACAAGATTTATTAAATTTGAAACATAATTTACAATTAAGAAATATCATTAAATATGAATTGGAAATAATACAAATTGTATATAAAAATCCTACTAAGCCTTTACTTACAAAAATTAGTTCGTATTTAGATAAAATTGCATTGATAAATATAAAACCAAATACATATTTTTCTGATTTCTATGCATTTATTATTGATTATTTATTACAAATAAAATTATTTTTAAATATTGAAGATAAACATGTCATATGTCGTCATATGCTTCATATAACAAGCAGATTTATTTGTGAAAATATTAATCAAAAATTAGTATTAAATGTTTTAAATACTATAAGTAATTATTTCAAAAAAATTTTAATAGATGATGAAGAATGTTATCAGTGTTTTCTATTCTTTGAATCTGTGTGCCTTACATTTGTGAAACCAATTGATTATTTAATAAATAGTGTTAAAAAAATTCAAGAATTAAATGATAATTATTTAAAACTTACAAATAAATATGGATATATAGGTCCTGTTAAATGGATGACATTTAGTATTGTTCAGATATTACAAACTTTGTTTATATATTGGGAAACATGTATAAAAATTGAGAAAAAGATATGCCTAAAAAATGATTTATTATTAGAAACAATAAAGTTAATTGGACATATCAGTATATGTTTTCTTAAGCAAACATCAGACAAATGTAAATCTTGTCAAAATGAAAATTGTATGGTTAAGAAAGATATTTATAATGCAGTAGTGGTAAAAACTACATGTATCAATTTCATTAGCAAATTTCCTAAAAGTGATCTATCAAAGGATATTTATATACTTATTAGAAAATTTTTTGAACAAAATATAATATTCATTCATGAAATGAAAAAATGTAAATGCAAATGCTGGACATATTTATGGTCTACTTCTAGTGCTTTGATTTATAATTTAGGTATAATGACTGATTGTTTTTATGAAGAAAGTGTATCTTTATTTTCCTTGTTGTTTACTTCTATTATACAATTTGATGGAATTGAATCAAAGTCACAGTATATTAATCTTCAGAATCCTATTAGTTTTACATTACATAGAATAAGTTTTCTTCATTATAATCATAATATGTATAGAGAAGCAATGACTGCAACTGCATTAAATGCTCTACTGAGCTATAATGATCCAGATTCAAAAGCATTTCGAATGTGGGCAAATATAAAACATAAGTCAGTGACTTCCAAAGAAATTATGGAAATGACCATACTAGCCTGTTTACAGAAAGATAAATCAAAGATAGAAGAATTAGGATTATTTATTGAATTATCAAAATATGATCTCATTGAAATATGTTTAAAAGAGGCAAAAAGTTTGCAAGAAGCAAAAGTTAATCTTACTGTTGCTATTCAAAAAGTTCTTAATGAAATGAAAACATTACAAACAAATCCGATACAATATGCTCGTGTGGTACAAATGTTAGTATATCATTCATTACATTTTGATTACAATGAAGATATTTTAGAATATATTAAAGAAGCTCTTTCAAGTTTAAAACAAATTAAGATAGATAAATCTGTTTTGTATTTGCAAGGCAATTTAGAATTTTATATTTTTGTAACACAATTACGTATAGTAAATAAAAAGACTCAAGAAGAAATAGAAAATATGAAATTTACATTATATGCTACAAAATTAAATGAAATTGGGGAGAATGAATCTCATGATGTAATCCCAGCTTATAGCATGATAAATATTAAAGAAGATTCTAGACTTATGATGTATCTACAAACAGCATTAAAAAAATGGGGGAAATATTTAAAGCAAAATTTAGTAAGTTTAATGAATGAATGAAAGTTTAATATATATATATTTTTATAAAATTAATTTATTATTATTTGTTAATAGAAAGAAATTACGAATGGATACGAACCATTAATAACTTTACGAACATTAATAATAGCGGGTGAATATGCTCATTTGTACAGATATCAAGAATGTGAAATCAATATATGGAAATTTGCATATACATTAGCATTTGAATTACAAGACAATTCAACAATTATTTATGGTATAAGAATTGAAATTTATTTTTTTAATTTATTATATATAAAAAATATAAAATTTTAATCAAAATATTATTAGTTATTGGACGTTGCATATCATTGAGACATATTAATTACGAATGGATTACTACTGCTAAAAACCTTGCCTTTAAATTGAAAGATACTAATGATGAAGACACAATTTACGCAATTGCTATTTTTTGGATAAGTTTATCAGATTTTTATTTTGAATGTAATATGGTAAGTTTATTAGTATGTATTATGGTAAGTTTATGGACAATTAAAAATATTGTAATTATTTTATATTTTATTTTTAGTATGATGAAGCTAGAAAGTTACTTGATGAATCCAGGAAACTACCAGGAATTTCTTTCTTCAGTAATATAGCTGTATATTTATATAGTCTTGATAGAATTTTGTACAATTGTTACTTGTACAAAGAAACTATTAAACATGAAGAATATACTCGATACATTGTTGAAACTTTATATACTCTAGTCAATTTAAATGAGGAACTTTCTATAAGAAAATGTAAACTTTTTATTTATATTTAGAAATTATTTAAAAATACTAAAATATTCAAAAAAATAATATGAATCTTTTAATATTTCAATATTTTTTTAGGGAAACCACAAGATAAACATCTTTTTGGACTTGATATTCTATTATCTACGACTGTTAATTTATCTCTCCGAATGAATAGTTTATTATCTTTTCGAGAAATCAGTGCCCATTTAGTACGACGACTAAAAACTGCACAAATTTTGGGGGCAACTATAAGAGTTGCAGAAATTTTAAAATGCCTCTGTTACATTGATTTATCACGTGAACAGTTAAGTGACTGTGAAATAAAACTTCAAGGATTGGAACATATTTTAAATATTGAAACATTTAAGGTATCTATGAACAGTAATATTTCAAAAATCAATCCAGAAAATGTTTTAATAACACCAACCCGAGCTATAGATCCTATCAGAGACATTCCTCAAAATAATACTTCTCCAATTCTTCAAAATAAAGTATTCAATTTGCCTGAATTTATATACCATAAAGGCTGTAATTGTTATATCTGTCAAAATATATCATATCATTATTTGGTATTTATAAGTACACATATCAGAGCACAATTGTATGCATTACAAAAAAATATCACAGCCTCATTGCAACACTTTCATGGAGCATTTAAGATAAAAGAAAACTTGATGAAAACAAAAAAATTATATAATAATGAATATCTCCCTTGGCAAGAACGTTTTTACAGTATAGACTATATATTATTATTAATAAACTTTTCTTTCTTCTTAAGAAGTTATTTTCATACAAAGCAAGAAAAAATAATAAGCATTATGTCATTAGTGGTTCATTTATGCGATATCTATAAATTGAAAGGACATCCAATTTTCATGGCTGTTGAAGAATTAATGCTTGATTATCGTTTTCAAAAAATATTTAATTCTTCTGACGACGCGGGTAAATATTTACATATAATTATAAAAAAAATATTTATATATTTGAAAACATAAATTATATTTAAATTTTTTGCAGAATTCATGGTTTCTGATTCTTCTGATATCGATATAAGTAAATATGTGCAAAGCGTGAATATTGAAGGAACTATTTGTGTAACACCAACTATTAAAAATACTCGTGTGAAAAAACCTATTACTCTCCGACGTAATCGAACTCCTCCTCTTTTAAAATTAACCAAAGTTAATATGAACTTCAGCGATGATGAAGATGTTTCTTTGTCATCATCAGAATATAAAATTACAAAATCACGTAGTAAATTAACGAGAAGAAAAATTTTAGATGAAGAATATTCTGCTACCGTTAATCAAACAGAAGAGGAAACAAATCAATTCAAAGCTAATTTGTTATTACAGGAGTTAATTGATATAAAAAAACACAATTCGAATGTTTCAATAAAAGAAATAATTGAAAAGATCGCATTGTTAGCACCAGATATATCAGAATATTTATATAAAATAGTAGATAAGATAGATGAACCAGCGACAACTAAAAATATGCGAAAATTAATCAATGCAATAGAAAATCTTAAAGTGAATACAATTTCACAAGAAAATGTTAGAAAAACTCGAAATTCAAAAAAAATAATTTCGATCGATTGTAATAAAATTAATCAAGTAATTGCATTATTTAAAGATTTTGATATTAATGAAGAAAGATAGTATTGATCAAATGAACAAAAAGATGTAATATTTGAAATTTCTGAAAAATTCTATCTTTTGTAACAACAGATATTTTATTATGGCAAAAAAACAATAGAATTAAAAAAGATAAGTGAAGAAAATATAAAATAATTACAACAAAATAATTTAAACAATTAAAAAAGATCCATGAATGAAAATACTACGAATGAAAATATTATTAGAAATTTTAATATTTTAAACAAAAAATTATATAATGTATAAACTAAAAAATTAAAAGAAAATTTATTATAATATAATTTTGTAATAGAACATTGCTAATATTTTATATATAATATTAAATATTAAAAGTTAGATTATATACATTGGTATTATGTATTTTATCAAAGATTAAAATTATTTTATAGTGAAAAGTATCAAAAATTATTTAAAAAAATTTTTTTTTAATTATATTTTATATATTATGAATTAATTAAATACATCTTATAAAATTTTAAAAAATATTTATTAAAATATTTCACATATGTACACATCTAGTAAAAAATAGGAGTTAAAATTATAATTAATGATATTACAAATGAAAGTTTTTTATCTTATGTATATCTATTACTTTTCCTTTGTAACATTTTATAAATAATAATCATATTTATTCCAATTAAATACTTTACAAACTTCATTCATATTTTGGAAAAAAATTTATTTGTAAATCTTTCTAATATTCTAAATATCACACAATTTTTTTATTATTATATAGTATGATAATAAATAAACTTTTGCATCATTATCTAAAAGGAAAATGTAATATTTTATAACTTTATAAATGAAAAATCAAATGTAGAAAATTGCATTAAAATATCAATTATATCAAAATTTTCTCTTGCATTAATATGAAGATATAATGAATGTTAATGAAAACAATTGAATAAGTGCAAAGTTAACAGTTATCATATGAGATATTTTCAAATGCATATAACTTGAATGCAAAAATAATTGATGAAAAGAAAATAATTTTTAAAATTTCTGTCAAATTGGATGAATGAGCAAATAATCTATTTTTATATATATTTAAAATTAAAAAGAGATATATAAGAACTTTTATTATAAACAATCTTTTCAGAAATTTCATTAAATGGTAAATTATGTATTAATAACAAACACAAATAAGATTTGTAAAGTATAATTTAAATATATATAGAATAATTTTTAATTTTTTATATAACTTATTTTGTTTTCTTTTTTTGTTCTGATAAAAATTTTGAAATAAATAAAAAATATTTTCATATATTTAAATGTTAAAGTTGTATACTCATTGTTTACATAAGTTGAGAAAAATTTTTTATGAAAATTACTTTGGTAAATTGTATACAAATACAATAGTAATATCTATATGAAATTGAAACTTTATAATATTATTTTATCAAATTAAAAATATTTTGCAGAATTAAATTTATGAAAAGAAATATGTATTTTTCATACATATTAATTCATTTTTTTTTAAAAAGAAAGAACAAAAAGATCAGAAACGAAAAAAAGAAAAAAATATTTTCAGATTTTTACTCTTAATATTAATAATGGCATAAAGTCATAACATGTAGTTTTGTAGTAAAATACTAATAAATGGTCAACATAATAAACTGTAATATTATAATGTAATTAGAAAAATATCAAAGAAAATTGTAAAAAATGCTATTTGATAATGTAACAAGAAAGGCAGAATTTTTCATTATCATGTTCAAAAATGAACTTCATTGACAATAAATGCATTTTTATTCTTTTCTGCCATACAAAAATAATACGAAACTATAATAGCCAGTAATCACAGTCTATAAATGGGTATAATTCAGCTCAGAGTTAACATAGAATTCATCTTTATTCTGTTTAAAATTCACATTTCTTCCTGTCTCTTCTTGATTTTTAGCTAATTCCATCAAAGCTAAAGCTCCTAACCATTTTTGACTATCCTCTGGAATTGGTAACTTGATAATATTATCCTCCTGCTTAACAACAACTACTTTTAATCCTGTTTCAGATTTTATTGGTGATAATTTTGAAATAGTATCTTTATTATTATTGTTATTGTTGTTGTTGTTGTTGTTGTTATTATTAAAACTTCCAGCTAACATCAAAACAGTCGGTCTTGTTACATTTTCGCTAATATGAGAATTTATAAATGTATTTTGTTTGGAAATATTTTTTTGACCAAAATCTTGAATTGTTATATTGGATTGATTCAGTGGAGATTTAGATATTTCATTTGTTAAATTATTATTCCAATATATATTATTTGAACTTTCAGAAGACTCAAGTTTACAAGTAGAATGATTAATATTAGTTTTTATTTGATTTATATCATCTGAAAAATTATTCACATGATGTGAAGAATTCCAATTACTTTGAGGCAATATATTTGATGTTTGAAATACATATTTTTGTTCTTCTTTTACTGGTGGTTCTAGAGATTCATTTTCTACAGTTGTATCCCATATTTGGGCAGATGCATAAGAGGCATCTACATCTGATTTTGTAAGTTCAATTTCTTTACATGCATTTAAACATGAATTATCTAACAAAGTAGATGAATTATTAACAGGTGAACTCCAATGCATTTGATTATCATTAATTTTAAATGAAATAGTTGAAGGTACATTAATAGATTTAGTGTCCCAATTTAAAGGTTTTGCTAATTGTTGTTCTAAACAAGCTTCACGTAACCACCTTTTCTTTGGCTGAAGTCTATCTAATGGTCTTCTTAAAGGAGTAATTGCTAATTTTGTTCCTATTTCTTCATCTTCAGATGTTTGTAATACTGTTGGATCTTCATCTTGACTTTCTTCTTGACTATCCTGACTTTCTCCACAATACAATCTTTGATTAGACTGCTTACAATCTAAATTCTCTTGTTCCCCTGTTGCATCCATCATCAAACCTTTTCTAGATTTAACTCTTTTGTGATTTTCTGAACTACTCTTCCATGTTTTTTTTTTACGTTCATTCTTTCCTGTAGGTGTTCTATCTTCCCTTTCTCTGGACATTTTGTAACGTTCTAGCCATCTGGTAACATCATGAGGTAACTCAGTATTTTCTGATACTGGTTTTAACACAAAATCATCAGATCGTGTAAGAGTAGCATATGGATGATCTGGACAATGTCTATTAGCATGTGTAAATCGCATTTCACAGCCAGGTTCTGTACATAAAAATGGTTTTTCTCCAGTATGTAATCGCTGGTGGGTTTTTAATTGTCCTGATTGTGTAAAAGCTTTTGTACATCCAGGATAATCACATGGATATGGCCGTTCCCCTAGAATAATAATAATTTATTTATATAACAAAAATATATAAAAATATTTTTTTTATTTATTGATTTTTATCATCTAAAAATATATAAATCAACATCTCTTCTGTATTTATAAATAAGGAAAAACACTTTTAATTAAATTTATTAATGTATTAACTATTAATAATTAAAATATGAATATATATTATGAAATATTTTTCATATAAATTTATAAACAATAATTATTTATTATTAATAATTTATTAATAATATAGTAATAATAATTAGTAATTTTAACATAAAAAATTGTAATTAGAAATAAATTAATTTTTTACAAATATAAAATAATAATAAATTATCTTTTATAAAATAAAATATATAGCAAAGAGAATTTAAATAATTTTTCATTCAATAATGTAATTTAAATAAAAAAAGCTATGAATTATTTTTTTCTTTCAAAGAAAATTTTAAAATTTGTTTATATAAAATATATTTTTTTTTCATTAAATAATATTAGAATATAAGTAATACAAGAAGTATTATGAATATTTTATATTTAATGATGTGGCATCGTACCATTCATACTAAATTATTTTTATAAGCCATTTAATTATTTAAAATGCGCGTGATGGCGAATGGCGGGACGCGTGATCATACAGAATCATACAAATCGTTGAAATCATATGGCTCTACGAATTATTGATGAAATGTATAAGAAGTTTCTTCACAGAAACTTTTATTAAAATTTTTTATATTTCCATAAAACATGGAAAAATTAGTAATTAGATTAGTAACCGAAACAATAAACAATGCATACCTGTATGGGTACGCAAATGTGCTTGAAGACTTTTTTCTCGTGGAAATACACGGTTACAATAAGTACATTTTATACTACTTGGTGAAGTACTTCCTTGCATCATAAGATTCGAAAGAGCATCAGCTCTCGGTCGACCACGGCGATGACTTTCTGAACCTCCAGAACGCGATCGAGGCCCGGATCGCGTGGCTACCACGCTATTTTCTCTATATTCTGGTGAAGAGCATGAGCTACCCGGACTAAGATTTACATTTCTCGCCTCTTCACTCCAATTCCACGGATAAAGCATACTATCGCACATCGGAGGGCTACACGGCAATGCTTCTAAGGGACGCGTTTCACGCTTCGGCGTGTGCAATTCCATTTCACGTTTTTCACTTCACTATACACCTCGCCCGCCACCTTTGAAGTTCGTATTAATACAACCACCTACTCTCTCTTTACCACTTTCCGTGTGCCGCGTGCAACTAGTGAACCGCCAAAATGAGTACCCGGTACTATGTATATATGTATATGTGTATACGTATAAGTACGTATAGTTCGTGCTTGCAATATTACAAAAAGATATTCAGAATTCAGAACTATGAAAATAATCGATTAAAAAGTTAAATTTCTTTCACTGCAAAGAAAAATAATTACGTTTTATCTCACTTCTTGTATTGTTGGCATCGTCTTACCGACTGTTTTCTACACGCGGCTTCATTCTCTGCGCGCGCATTCTTTTCTTTGTAACAATTTGACCAATCAGAGGCTTGTCAGAAAAAGAAACGCGTAATACAAACTTAGCCTATTAAGACTGTTGTTTGCATAATGCATTATTTAATTATCATCATAAAATTAATTGTTATTTTTTGTAAATATCTTAATATTATATATATAAACTTTAAATGCTTATAAAAATTAATGCTTTTAAATATTTTTCCATGTAAAAGATACATAATATACGTAATAATTTCATAAAATTTTGTATATTTTTTAATAAAATATAAATAAAAGAATAATAAAAATAAAAGAAAAAAATTATTAAGAGAAAAATTATAAACAATAAATAAAATATATTATAAACTTATTCAAAATAACTTATTCAAAATATATTATTACAAAAAAAAAATATTATTAACTCAATATGCATAAAACTTAAATATATTTTTATATACAAGAAATAGTTAGAAAATATAATAAGAATAATTAAAAAACCACATATATTTATGTATAATTATATTTTTAAATTATATTTATATTAATATTATATTTTGCATTGAAAGTTTTAAAACTTTTTAATATTTAATTTATATTTTACATAAAAATGCGGCATAATAATTTCATAAATGGTTTACGTTAGAATGATATATGTATATGTATAAAACATAAATTAAAAAAAATGTTATGGACTGTTAATAAAATTTTATTATCATATAATACTATATAATAATATAGTTTTAATATTATATTTTTTTATTCAACTATTATAATTTTCAAGATTTAATTCAATATAATATATTACTTTTTAAATATATTTTGCCATTTATTTTATTAATTAGATGTTTGTGTCTTATTCTTTAAATTTTAACATGTATAATATATATTAATATTAAAATTTTACTTTTTATATATTGTTTAAAAAATAAATAAAATAATAATATAGCTTCATTTTATATATTACATATTTTACATATATTTTTATATATTAATACAAATAAAAAATTAAAAATATATAATTTTATATAAACTTTAAATATATTTATTTTTATGCTTAGAATGAATTTATGAATGATACAAATGCTAATACATTGAAAATTATTTATGTTTAAATAAGATAAATAATAATAATGTTTAAATAAGATAATAATATAAAAATTATTATAATTAGAGAATAATAAATTTACGAATAGAACCATTAAAAAATTTTTAAGTATAGTATATTTTTGCGTAATGTAAAAACAGAGATTTTCAATTGTTGAATAAATTATAACTATTGAGAATAGAACATCATATTACTAGTTTTCATTTTTATTCAAATGACATGAAATATGATATATGATTAAAATAGCAGATTGGTATATAAATATTATTGTACGACAATAAGATAAAGTATAAAAGATAAGAAAATCTATTCAGTTGGTGTGTTAAGTAATTCATGGAAATAATGCCGGTTTCTTTGAGAACGACAATTGCGAAAGTATATTGCTTTATTGCTGGATATTAGTTATTTTAAAAATGCAATGTAATTAAAATTAAAAACTCGATTTTAGACAATATTTTATGATTTGAAATCATATAAAATTAAAGATATAAATAATATTGGTGGGGAGGTGGCGCGCTGGGTGCAAGACAATTATGCGGTCCCTCCCTGAGCACAGACCTCGTGGTGAACTATCTCCGACTCAGCCATATTGAAATATTGAATGTCTCTGTTACACAAGGGCTCAAGAGTAGCCGTGAAATTTTCGCGTGATCCTCGACGAAGAGAGGATAAGAGACATCATGGAAAATATGTACAGCATTGCCGTTACCAACAAATTCTCGTTAGCGTTGGGTGATGACGAAGATCCACATGAAAAGCTTAGAGAAGAGGAACTAAAGAAGGAAGCTAGGAAAAAGGAGAAGCTTTCGGAGAAAGAGAATAAGAGTAAGCAGACGGACGCACAAAAAGGAACCGGTAATAAAACGCAAAAAAACCGCGTGATCAAAGATTCTCAGCAACAACCATCTAAAGTGCAAGATTCGAAGAAAGATCAAGGTTAGTAATTTTTCATTACAATCTTGCCTCGTGCGCGGTATTATGGCCGTCGCCCCTAGTCCTCGTGGGTCCATGTGCTTTTGATATTTTGCCGCATAATAAATGATTTTTTTATTTCACTAGCAAACATTTATTTTTAATTTTTAATTTTTTCCATTAGTATTATTTTATAAATTCAAACTATTCGTGCAAATTCTAATTTTCTACTATTTATTTCTTGTAACTTTTTTGAAAATTATTTATGCTTTATAGTGTAATATTCTTACGTTATAAAAAAAAATTTATCGATAGATAACTTCATATTTAATAAAAAAAATGAGAATATGATTCATTTCCAAAATTTTATACATTATATTTGTAAAATAGGTAATTTTAATGTAATTTAAGTATTTAATTTAATATAATTTTAGTACAATTTAAGATTAGTAAATAATAGTAAATTATTACATTTTATTAATTAATGATTTGTATAAGTATTCTTTTTGTTTCAAATAATCAATATATTATATTAAAATTAGATGGTTTTATATTTATGTATTTTATAAAGTATATATATCAAATTAAATTAATAAAATCAAAGAATTTACTATATATTTTCAAAATATAATATTCTTTTATTTAAAAAATATATTTTTATGTTTATATTTTATATAAAGATATTATTTAAATAAGAATATGAATATATATTCTTATTTAAATTAATAATTTTTTACATTAATTTATATTTATTAATTATAGCAATTTTATTTTATAGTTATTCTTAAACTTGTAAAATTTTGATATGCAGGAGATAAAAAACCATCTCAATCAAGAACTGGTGGTGGAGATCGTAATGTGAAATTCTCCGGAGAAAGTAGAGAAGAGCGCAATAACAGACGTAATCGCGAAGATGGTGAAAGAACACCCCGTGGTCAGGGAGAATTAAGACGAGGACCTCCTGGGTTAGTATATTATAGTATATTATATAAAATATAATAAGAATATGAAATTGACATTATTTTTTCCCAACTTTTAAATTCTTTTATTAACTTTTTAGTGAGGGACGTGAAACTCGAGAATTCCGAAATTCTAATGATAATCAACGTGGAGATTATGGAGAACGTAGGGGTCGTGGTGGAATGCGCGGAATGGTGCGTGGACGTGGAGGATCACGTGGTCGTGGAGGATATGATTATCGTGGAAAACGTGAATTCGATCGTCAATCTGGTTCCGATAAAACGTAATCTTTTATTTATTGTTATTTTACTCTAAGTATTTTTAGTATTAATAAATATAATTAAATTAAAAATTTGTTTGTTCAAGCAGTGGAATTAAACCAGTGGATAAAAAGGATGGTGCTGGTAGCCATAATTGGGGTACCCACAATGATGAAATTGAGTAAATATTATTTATAACAAAACTTTTTAAGATTTAAAAGATATTCATATTTTAAGATTTTGTTTTTTCCTATATTGTTTTCAGAGAAAGTTTAAATCAAGAAAGTCAAGATTGGACTAATGAAAAATCTGATGGAGATACTAACCAAACAACTACAGAGATAAAGGAAGGAGAAGCAACTACAGATACAGTAGAAGAAAAACCAGTTGAAGAAGAATCCCGTGAATTGACATTGGATGAATGGAAAGCTTTACGTAATAACAGAGTTAAGCCTCAATATAATTTGCGTAAGGCTGGAGAAGGTGAAGATTTAACTCGCTGGAAGAAAATGTACGCTTTGGAAAGAAAGAAGGAAGGTGCTGATGATGAAGAAGAAGAAGAGGAAGAATATGATGCCGCGGCAGAATATCCTCAACGCGTTGGAAGGCAAAAACGCGTGTTAGGCATTGAAATACAATTCAGTGATTCTCGACGTGGTTCTGGTGGACGTGGTCGAGGACGAGGTCGTGGAGAACGTGCAAATGGTCGCGGATTTGGTAATCGTGGTGCTCCCAGAGATGGAGATTCACGTGGTCCTGTAAGTATTTATATTTATTTTCGATTGAGATTTAGTATAGATAAATATAATATATATTAATTATGCATTCTCAAATTTTAGGCTTCACAATCTGAGCAAAGGTCGCCTCGAGGACGTCAAAATGCTCCAAAAGTAGATGATGAGAATGACTTTCCCTCATTAGGATAGATGGTTTTGCTTGTCATCTACAATAGAATATCCCACCATTATCACCAGCATCAGTACTACTATCACAGATAAAATTACCACTAATACTAAAACTATTACTATCAACATTTTTGCGTCAGTGACAACGTTATTAATGCATAATACAGTACACCCTTGCAAAATGAGATACGTAATTTATCTAAATAAATCGTAGCGCTTTGAACGCGCTCTTACATATTGACATGTTAAACGTACACATAAAAAGTCGCATGAAACAATGTAGATCACGATCCTTTTTTGTACTTGTAATAACTCAATTTGTTTGTGGCTAGTTTTAATACTAGTTCACAGATAAATGATATTAAAAACGAGGCTGGATATTCATGGACTTGTTAAATAATCTTGGATAAACTTGGATGCTAGACAAAAATATGGCTGAAAGACTTTAAGCGGACCAGCGGGAATATAAATATCAAAAGATATTCATTTTACATAATGTAGTTTAAAGCTGCTTAAATCCGAGTGAAACAAAGTTCCAAATGAAAATAGACAAAAAAAAAGTATCTACCTGAATATCAGGAGGTAAGGCAGTTTAGCCTAGATTTTAATTTCAATATCTTATATTAAAGGCCTAAGGAGGCTGGCCATAGCACCGATTCTTATGAACACATGTATAATAACTTGTTAGGCGGTAAATTTTAAACATTCTTTCTGTTTTATAATTTTTATACGGTGTTTGGAGGAGCCTTCCTTGTAATTGACAAAATGTTATTTGTCGTATATAAAACATAAGAGACTTTTAAAAAAGTGTGTAT